TGTCAAGACAGGAGGAACGCTTGACGAAAGCTGCTACATAGTACGAGCAATAAGCTCGAACAGTATGTTGCTGCAAATTGCTGCATGTTGCAGCATTTTGCAACAAATTGCAGCATGTTGCAGCAAATTGCAGCATTTTGCAACATTTTGCAACAAATTGCAGCATGTTGCAAGCTGGTCGCGCATAGGGCTAGTGCGCGAGGGACTCAGACCGGAAAAACAAAAGCCGAGCAACACGAGCAGAGCAGAAAAAAGGATCGATAAATCAATACAATCAATCATCATCCCATACATCATATCCAAACCCATCATTCATCTCAGGAAGCCCAGAAACAGTGCTTCAATCTGACACAGGTTAACCTTTCTAAAAGGTTTCCTGTATAATAGATTAATTAATTAGTGAGCTTTTCTTATAACTCTAAAAAACTAGTTTATTTTATAAGCTCTATAGAGCGGTACAGCTTTAAAAGTTAATAGGGTAACATCTTAAAACTGTGCGTTAGGCGATGAAACACGGTACAGGCAGCAAGAGCCATACCAATAGCTGAGGGACTATAGTAAAGACAGTAGGAGCTGTTATGGTTTATGGCGGAAGATTTCTGTATCAGGAATGCGACAAAAATTGGCGGCGCTGCTGGGCGAGCACGTGCCGAGCATATGCACCAAAGAACGACGAGATCCGAACAGACCGGGGGAGCTGTGTGTTTGCAGTTATAGAGCTCTCCAAGCTCTAGTCGCCTGATACGACTTTCACCTGCTGCTGCCTAAGCTAGTGGTAGACTTAGGTCACATGACAGGTTCACTCAGTACTATATAAACCCTTAGTTACCCTCCTGTAGCAATCAATCCAGTTCCTAGTGCCCTGGTGCTCCCAAAAGCTTCACCATAAACTCTACACTGTGCCTTACGTAGGGTAGAGGGTGACGTTGGATGAAGATTTAATGCCATGCCAGAGGCTGCGGGGTGTTCAAGGGCAGTGCGCGGACGAGGGTGGCAGCCCAGTGTTTCTACAGACACCCAGCTACACCTTGCCACGGGCGGAGATTCGCAGCGAGTGGGATGCCGTACTGTAGGCAACGGCAGTTGCTTAACCCCTCTTGACTTCTAGCGAGCGCGCTATGTAATAACGAAGCTGAGAGGGGCACTTAGGCTGCCAACTAGTGAGCGTGAAAACTTGTCATCAGCTCTGACTGTGATTGTGATGGCCCGAGGGCAAACAAATTGGCACGCCTGTTGTGTCGATAGACCCGCAATGCGGTAAATGCGACCAGGGGTTGCCAGTGGATAGTTGCTACTCCTATTGCTCATTACTAAAGCTGAAGCGAGTTACCAACTTCACCTAGCAGCTGGAGTTGCCCGGGCCAGGCGGAGTTGATCAACCAAGACATGCGTTGTTACTCGAATTGACGTCTCACGTGCATGTGCCTGTAAGACTTCGCCCAGCGTCGGATGATCGTGTGTCCAATGATAGCAAAGTGTCATTTTCACTCAGTAGACTTTGTGCCGCGAACCCATCGCATGAGGCATGTCGTGGCTTGACGTTGCTTAGCAAAACCCCACACGCCGGTTTGGCAACCAGGTTTGGTCATCAAGGGGAATTTCTCTCTTTAGCCGACTGGTGATTACCGATATGTATGTCTGTGGCGTGGTCGGCAAGGCAGTCAATACCTGGCGTATCTTAAGAACAACAAGGGTAAGCTGGGGAAGTGTTGGAATTATTTTGGGGGCCCTTATTGTCAGATGGCTTTCGTGGCGATATTGGAAATACCGGGCGAAATCGCGCCAAGCTTTCTTGGTCAAAACCCGGCTTGGTCGTCTCGGAAGATTTCCGCCCGAGCATCTCGCGCATCCACACTGCAATTTATCTTACAGTTGCTATACGTTTGTGTCGATTTCTACATGGAGACCTTGAAACGTATCGTTAAGCCTCTGGAGGCTGCCATATCTGTTTAATTGTAGTTGCTAAGGCAGAGAGTAGCTATGGGGCCAGCCAGAGGCAACATCGTTCCTCTGACAGGTGATACTTGCTCCTAAGAACAGTGCAAGTGTGGACTGGCGAGATGTTGCCTCACATTATTTTCAGCGCCGAGAATCGGCACAACATGCCGGAGACACAGATTCTTGCAACACTAGTGGGCGGTCCAAATGCGAAAATGTGTTAAAGCAAAGGCAGGAAACATCCGTACTTGTGATTAGGTTTCTACGCCCCACGCTAAATACATTTTTTGTCAGGGCAAAGAACAACAGTCCAGGGTATGGATCACCATGCATCATTGCTTACCGAATACGGAAGTGCTTCGCAAAAGTCAGGGTTGGTGGCCAGTGCGCAGCCACCAAAACGCCTCTTCCTAATAGGGTACAAGACTCTTAGCAGATGCTCGAGGGTAAATTATAGTCACGAAGCTCTATTAAAACACTATATTTTTGTATAGAATTAAGCTCTTCTGTAGGAATTTTCTAATAGATTTGTTATAAAGCTTTTTCTTCTTAGTACTTATTACCTCTATTTAGAGTAATAATCTTTTAAATATAGTAGGGGATTCTTTTAAGCTACCTCTAGATTTGCTACTATTTAAGCTTCCTCTACTACTTCTTCTAAACCTTTTCTATCTTTATAGTACCTTAAAGTGCTATTATTAAAGTTGTTTGTTGTTTCTTCTAAGGATATAAAAGTACAATTACGTTAAAGCTAAAAGAGTTCTTGTAATAGAGTATATAATTAACTCTCTTAATTAAGTAGAGCTTTAATTAGTACTAGTTTCTATAAAAGAGTTCTATGTTCTCTTAAATAATAGCCTCTAGGCGTCTCTTTTAGCACTATTATATAAAGAGAAGAAGCTTTAGTTTAAGAATCTCATTTTAGTATTACTACTAATTAATATAATTGTTTAAACTTCTAGTTAATTAACAGTGTTTAGCATTCTATTTTTATACTAGTTTAGGCTCTTTTACAGCTCTTAACCTAACTCTTTTTATTCTACTACTAAGCTTTTATTTCTTCTTTAACGTTGCTAAAGACTTGTTTAGTTTCTTTACTTTTTTAAAAGATTTTTTTTCTATTATACTTTCTCTACTGTATAGATATAAAGGGCCTTTGTAGTTGTATAAAAAAAAACCTTAAAACATAAATTTACTATACTCTTTCTATCTCTTATGTATGCAGGTTCTATTATATTTCTCTACAGGTTATCTTTAAATCTACATAGAACCCTTCTAGCTACTATAACAATAGAGATTTTGTTGCTATATATAACATTCTTGCTATTCCTCTAAGCTCTAGTGCTGGTGTTTAAGGCAGAATTCTAACAAATTCTTCTTTATCTTTTAGGTAAGGCTAAGCTTTTAGAGTAGCTTAACGCTCTTAAATCCCTGCGTAATTAGAGACCTTAACTAGTAGAGTAGTTAACCTCTCTACCCTGTTGTTTAAGCTCCTATCTAAGCTGCATTATTAACATTTCACACCTATTTTAATCCTTCTGTATAGTGACAGTGGTGAGGGAGTCAAGTGAGGGAGTCCTCTTAAATAGAGCGCTAGGCTTAGAGGTGTCTTTAAGATGTTTGTTAAGCAGGGCTTCTCTAGGTTTCCAGCCTCTATCCTTTGCGTGTTGGATAATCTTTCTCTGTATACGCTCTTAGACTCTAGTAGTTGCCGCGACTGCTTTAATTGAGGCTCCTCTATTAGTATAGAGCGCAACTATCTGAGCTCTACTTGCTAGGTGTCACGATTATGCACGAGTAAGGTTATAGAGCTTCGCGGAGGTCTAGTTCAATTACTACGTGAGGTATCATAGTAGGTACAAGACGTTGTGTGAGGAACAAGAAGGTTTAAAAGGAAATTAGTAATTAAATACTTAGCTTAGAAGTCTAAGCGCTTTAGGTATAAATTAAGCCTGTTTTAGGTTTAGTTAGTGTTAAGGCAATTTATGCTTAAGTTTATGTCTATGTTATGTTATGTTTATGTTAGACGTGCACTAATAATACTCTAGTACATGTCTAATACAGTTATGTCTAGGATCTAGGGAGGATACTGTGACAGTACCCCCCCTCTTATTAGGAAGGGAATCCTTTACATTAGTAGTTCTAGCATTAGGTTGTCTTTGTCAGGGTACAGGTTTAGTTTAGATGGGTATTAGGCGTGGAATTAGGTTACTGTAGAGTTCTCTTGCAGGGCTTTTGCAGGTTCCTACAACAGTTTGTTATATCTAGTCTATTTTATAAAGTATTTATAGATACGTTTCTTCTTATTAAACTAGATCTGTTTAATGTCTTCTACAACATATTCTAGTTTGTTGTTTATAATAACAGGTTTAGGTAGCAGGTTTAGCTGTCTAGGTAGATAGTTAGATTTAGGGGCTGCTTAGCGCAGCAACAATACATGGAACACAGGGTGTATCTTTATGCTGTTAGGTAGGATTAATTAGTAAGTGTGTAATAAGACTATATAGGCTACTATAAAGGGGCTAAGGTTCTTCTAATTAAGTTTTTTTAATTATTAGTTTATTTAGATATTTCTAGTGTCTAGCTAGACCTTCTTGCCAGCTGCATACGCAGGGGCAGGAGTTTAAGATTAGTTTACGTACTCTTGTTAAAAAGCTTAAGCCTATGTAAGCTCTTTATAAATATATTTAAATATATTTTAAATCTTATTAATAAGTCTGTTTATGTCTGTTACTTGTACAGATTAATAAGTTAGTTAAGGGGTATTTAAAAGTAGTTTAAATTCTATTTAAGGGTAGTATCTATAGTTTACTAAAAATAGAAATACTTATGTTAATTTAAATGTTATGTTATTAGCTTTAAACTATGCTATAGCTAACTATTTTACTTAGTTGTCCTACTAGTAGTTTATGTACACTTATAAGACTTATTCTATTACAGTGTTTGTGTTCTTAGTCTAGCTGTTAGTCTCTAGGTAAAAAGCTGTAGATAGATAGAGGACAATTTAGAGCTGTTTACAGAGTTTGTCCTAGAAGGCTAAGACAAACTGCGTACCTCTGTCTAATATAATTATGTCAGGCAGGCTATAGTAAACCTATATGTATTAGTAGAATAACTAGGCTATATTAAGGGCAGTTATAAAGGAACATAGTATTAGGTGTTAATACTTAGTTAAGCAATTAACAACTACTATAATATTTATGTACCCTTTAGATAGGGGTAGGTCTATAATAAAATTAATTAATATGTCTTTTTAAGCTTGTTTAGGGATTAGAAGTAGTTTAAGCAGGCTATTGTACCTTTCTTAAGAGGCCTTTACTTTACAGCAAGTATAGCAACATAATATGTATTAGCGTACAGTATAGAACATGCAGGGCTAGTAGTACTCTCTCTGTAGTAGGTTAAGAGTCTTTCCTCTGCTTAGGTGTCCTCTAACAGGCGAGTTGTGTATAATTTAGAGTAGTTTAATTCTTAGTTTGTTAAAATTAAAAATTATAAGTTAGTTATAGTAATATAGCTTACTATTTTAGTTTTTATAGTTAGCTAGTGTTACCTTCTTTAACTAACTAGCGCTGTTTTAGAGCAGGTCTAAGGTTTCTTAGATAAATTTATTATTTAGATACTTATTAGTAATAATCTAATTAATTATCTAATTTATTTTGTTTAAGTTAAGGTCTAAAAATAGCTTAGGTTAGAGCAGAGTTTAGTGTTAAGCCTTTTACGCTTCTTCTTAAGCAGAGATGTCTTAGGATTGCCTTATAAGGGCATCTAGTTTCCCTCTATCTTAACTAAAATAATAAGTAATCTTAAAATTAAAATAAAATAAGTATTTAAACTAATAGGCTTGTTAGTAGCTAAGTTATTTTATAGTTGTAAAGTACTATAAGTTCTTGTAGTTAGATAGGACCTATATTAGATGCGCTGCACCTTCTAGTTTAGGTTGCTATTGTTTAAAGCAGTGTACTATAGTAAGCAATTCCTTGTTATAGATCTTATAATTACCTTCTGCAGGACTTATTCTTTTTAAGAAGTATGTAATAGGCTTAATAGTCCTATTTAGCTTAGTCTAGGAGAGAACTCCTGCTACTATGTAGTCTAAGGCATTAGCTTCTATAAGTATTAGTAGTTTAGAGTTAAAGTAGCAGAGTATTAGGGCTTTAGTAAAGGCTTTCTTTAGCTAGTTAAAGGACTATTAGCAATTTAGGTTAAAGTTAAATTAAACCTCTTTTTTAGTAAGTGTAATTATAGGGCTTACTAGCTATAAAAAGTTGTTAATAAATTATTAGTAGAAGTTAGCAAATTTTATAAAGGCTTAAACATTCTTTACATTTTTTAGGTATTGCTAATCTAGCACAGTCTAAACCTTAATAAGGTCTATTTAGATGCTATCTGTAGAGATTACATATCCTAAATATGTAACCTTTAATTAGTAGAACTTGCATTTGTCTATGTTAAGTTATAAACCTACTTCTTCTATAGCCTTTAGCACTAGGCGTACATGCTATTTGTGCTCTAAAAGGCTATTGCTGTAGATTAGAATATTGTTAATATACGCAGTGTAGAACATGTCTAGGTAGGGTTAGAGCAAGTTGTTTACAAAATATTAAAAAGTACTAGGCGTGTTAGCTAAGCTAAAGGGCATTACTAGGTACTTAAATAGTCTGTATTAGGTCTAAAACGCTGTTAGCTACTTATTGCCTTTTACTATTCTTAGCTTATTAAAGGCAGCAATAATATCTAACTTTATAAAATACTTTACTTTACTTAGTTAGCTTAAAGTTTTTTATAAAAAGAGAATTAAGTATTAGTTCTTAATAGTAACAGTGTTTAGTCCTTAGTAGTTAACATAGAATTAAAGCCTACTCCTAGGTTTCTTTACAAATAGTATAAGTAACACTACTAGTAAGAAGCTAGCTTAAATAAACCCTTTCTTTAGGTTCTTGTTAAGGTATTTTTAAAGCACTTTTAATTTATTTAGTAACATTCTATACAGTGGCCTATAACTAGGTTGTTTACTAGGCTTAAGGGTTATCTAGTAATTGTACAGATGTTGTATTAAAAGCTTATTAGACTTGTCTTAGAAAAAGACATGCAACAGGTTATAGTAGTCTTAAAAGACTATTATCTTTAGGTTAGTGTGTTTTTAGGGAGCTAAAGCTTAGTCTATATTAGAAATTGTAACTGCGTAGATTTTGTAATCTAGTTATAGAGCTAGGGTTATAAATAAAGCAGGTCCTATGTAGCAGATGTCTATCTGCTGTTTAAGTCCTAGTTTATGTCTAAATTAGGTAGGTAAAGGTTCTTTAAAGGCTTCCTCTTCTTTAAGTTTAAGTAGTTATTAAATTATTTTATATAGCCTATTTTAGTAAAAGGCCTAGCTTATTAGCCTTGCTTAGGTAGTTCTTCTTTAGGTTATTAAAAAGTAAGTCTAAAAACCTTTTATATTAAGTGCTATTTAAGTGTTGTTTAGATGTAAGTGTAAGCATATATCTTAGCATTAAAAAGAGTTAAAGTTTAGAACTTACTCTTAGTAATTAAAGGCAACCTTGTGCTAATACAGCTATAGTTGTTCTAGAATTAGGTTATAACATCTTATGTTTATTACATAGAGTTTAATCTACTCCTTATAGTGTTAGTAAGTAATTATAATAGTTGTAGTATAAAAGATAGAACCTTTTTTAAGTTATTTTCTATTAAATCTAGTTAGGTAAATTATTTAGGTAAGCAGTGTTAATTAGAGATTTAGTTTATGCGCTAGTTTTTTATTAATATAACTTATGCTGTTTACTTTTAAGTTAATAAGAGCTTATATTAAGGCTAATATAGTTTTTTATTATAAATATATAAGAATATTAACTTAGTACTTCTAGTTATTAGTAGGGGACTTAGCCTATAAGTTAGCAGAGATCTAGTGTTAAATTAGTCCTAGGGGGCAACTTAGCCCTAGGACAAGCCTTTTTACAGGCTTCTACTGCTATAGCTGCGGCTATGTTAAGAGTAGCAAAGGGGATTAAAGCTTAAATACAAGTTAGAGCCCTTATAGAAATAAGATTAAAACAGTAAGAATCTTTAATAAGTACTAGTAGCGCTACTTATGTAGACTTAAAAAAGGGGAATAAAGCAGTTTTAGAAAATATAACTATGCTTACTACACTTAAAACATTAACTTTTCTTTCTGTAATTTTTATGCTTTTTAGAACTAACTAAAGCATAATTTAAATTAATTTTTATTATATTAGGGTCCTTATTTACAACTGCGCTAGTTTAGGGGCGTATTAGGGCTTGTACAGGGAGGAACCTTATGTTATTATTATAGGTAGTAATTAGGTTTACATACGCGTTAAGGTTGTTTAGAAGAGGTTCTTCTACTATAGCGCGTTACAGTTTAGTTAAAAAGGAGTTATATAAGGCTATAATTAGACTTATCTTATTTAGGCCTGTATTAGATGCAAGTTAGTAGAACTTAGCAAAGTGTAAAGTAAAGCTTTTTTTTTCTTGTTATAAAGTGTTTAGGTAACTTAGGGCTGTTAACTTTTTATTTAGGTCTTTATAAGTTGCTTACAGGAACGCTATAAATTAGTCTAAGTTAATAATATCTTTATCTATTAGTAAGTTAATTAAGGCTGTTATATTATAGTTAAGTTAAAAGTAGGCATATAGTAACTAAGAGTATTTAAAGAGAAATTAGTCTATGTTTCCTTTAAGTTTATATTAGAGCTTGTGTAGGAAAGAAGGTAGGTCTTTCTGTTTTCTATTAAACAGCAGGGGATTAGGGAGTTAGTTAGATTTTATTACTAAGTTAAAAAAGTTACAGGTTGTAGGCAGTGTTAGGCAGGAGGGAGTTAAGCTATCTCTAGACTTCTAGGTAGGCTTTAAGGCTAGTAAGTTCTTAGTTTCTACTACTATAATAAAAGTTAAGGTAAAAATAGACTACTTAATAGTGCAAAGCTATTTTTTAAAGTCTTTTTAAAAAGCTTTAAAGCTTGCAATGTAGCAGCTTTCTTATAAAGTAAGCGCTTTTTAGAAGGCTTCTTAGCTTACTCTAATAGCTTAGAGTTATGCAAGTACTAAGCTTATTAGATTAGATTTAGAGGCTATTCTTAGCTAAGGTTTTAACACAACGTAATGTTATAATTATGCATAAGTAAGGTTATAGAGCTTTGCAGAGGTCTAGTTTAATTACTACGTAAGGTATTATAGTAGGTACAAGACGTTATGTAAGGAATAGAAAAGTTTAGAAGGAAATTAGCAATTAAATACTTAGCTTAGAAGTCTAAGCGCTTTAGGTATAAATTAAGCTTATTCTAGGTTTAGTTAGTGTTAAGGCGATTTGTGCTTAAGTTTATGTCTGTGTTGTGTTGTGTTTGTGTTAGACGTGCACTAATAATACTCTAGTACGCGTCTAATACGGTTATGTCTGGGATCCAGGGAGGATACCGTGACACTAGGTTAAAATACTTTGCTTCTATAATTCTCTTAAAATGATAATGTTAAGTTAATAGAGGCTACTTAAGGATGTCCTCTTTATAGGAAATGTTTTCTACATACAAATCCTCATATTACAGCGCATCGCGCATAAAGGAGCGGTACCTGCAGTTGCTCGGGTCTCCTGCCTAATTAGGAAGGCGTTTTGGTGGCTGCGCACTGGCCACCAGCCCTGACTTTTGCGAAGCACCACCGTAAGACATCTTTAGTTGAACAACCATGAATCCTGCTTGAATCCCTCGGATCATACCGCTCAACGAATGCTAAGCTTACCTGGTGGCTAACGGTTTTAGCCGCACATGTGAGGATGCCAAGACGCGTGTCCCCTTCCTGCTCAGCCATTTTCGCATGAGCTTTAATTCTAGCTTTATGATATCCTCCATCCCATGTCCTAGTGCAAGCTGTCCAACAACGTGTCTTACAGCCTGATTCAAGCGCAAGACAAATTTCCTCAATACAACATATAAGGTGCGAGCGATTATTTTTAGTTCCAGCCACAGGCTTTGCTTGGTCGCATTGATCTGTCGGTAGGTACTACTCCTGTTTGGACTGTGACAACGACCTGTCTACTCCTCTCATCCTCTGGTCTTGCGTCGCAATTACGACGATATTCAGCGAAGGCAAACCATCCCCCTTACCGCCACTTCCAATGGCCCGCATCAAGGGCGAAATAACTGCGCAGGAAGCGCGAGGTCTTGAAGCTATTACGGCGGAGAAAGGCCACGGAACAACGATTGCTAGAGAGGAGGAACAGGGCACTTTGCAAGCAAAGAAACCATCACAGGCTGGCCTCGCGAACTACTTCCGAGTCCTTTCTTATGGAACTAAGCTCGATTACTTTATGGTGCTACTCTGTATTCTCACCTCCATCGGTTCCGGTGCTACGATGCCTTTGATGATAATCGTGTTTGGCGGACTGGTCAGCGACTTCACGAATTACTTCATGCCAGAAACCACAGTTACCAGATCAGAATTTCAATCAGTACTTAATAGGCAAGCATTATACATCGTATACCTTTTCATTGGGAAGTTTTTTTTGTCTTACGTGTCCATGGTATGCACTAAAACTGTACTTGCGAAAAGACTTGCATTGATATTCATATAGTTCACGATACGAATCACAGGTCTACGTATCTCTGCTGCATTAAGGTTGGCGTATCTACGTGCTACGTTTGCTCAGCCAGTCAGCGTTATCGACACTATTTCTCCTGGCAAAATATCGACTCGCATCACTACATCTTCCAACACCATTCAGGTCGCCATCTCGCAGCACCTCGCCACGCTCTGGCAAGCACTTGCTTTCACGATCGGGTTCTACATCGTGTCCTTCATCAAGAGCTGGCTGCTGACCTTAGTGGCCTCTGCGTCTCTCCCTTTCATCCTGATTGTCTATAGCAGCCTTATTCCCCCGTTCATGCGGATACACAAGATTACCGAAAAGCACCATGATGATGCATCGGGAATGGCTTTCGAGATGTTCTCCTCTATTCGTATCATCGTTGCCTTTGGCGCTGGGGCCAAACTGGGACGACAGCATGAAGAGTTTCTTAGCAAGGTATGTGTTGAGTCGCGTACATTTCGGCCTTGTAGCTACATACAAAATCTTCTCCATTGTTAATGCTAACCATGCTTCTGTGGATAGGCTGCACATAATGAGAAGAGGGCAACTCCTCTATTGGCATTGATGACGTCGCCCCCCGCAGTAGCACAGTACGGTACGTTTGGACTTGCCTTCTGGTTTGGCATTCGTCAATATTCTAGAGGACACATCGACGATATCGGCCAGATCATTGTGTACGTATACTAAAGGTCGAATCTTCGCTTCTAGTGACTGACTCCTCTAGCGTCCTCTTTTCGGTCATGATGGCAATGATGAATATAGGTCGACTTTCATCGCCCATCATTGGTATTGCGAAAGCTGCAAGCGCCTCAACAGAGCTGTTTGCCACCATCGATGCGCACGTTCCAGACACTTCTGGCCTAAGGGACCCTGACATTACTGCAAATGCTAACATCGCGTTTGAAAACGTTGCATTCTCATACCCTAGCAGACCGGGGGTTCAAATCCTCCATGGCCTCGATTTAGAACTTACTGCTGGCAAGGTTACGGCCATTGTTGGGCCGTCTGGGTCCGGCAAGAGCACTATTGTAGCCCTAGTCCAGCGTTGGTATGACCTGCTGGGAACGACCGCAAATATAACGACAATCGATGACACAAAGGACGAAACTCCGGCAGACGTAACAACTAGAAATAAACAGCAACCCCAGGAGATAGAGAGTCGGATCGTCAAGAGATCAAGAAAAACCGAGAAGGTTACAAAAGCTGCAGATGACGAACAAAAAAAGGATGAAGGGCTCGAGCGTGGACCTCATACTTGTACTGGAACCATCAGGATTGGGAATGCGGACCTGAATAATGTGGACCTGAAGTGGTGGCGCTCACAGGTCGGACTTGTACAACAAGAGCCATTTCTTTTCAACGACACGCTCTTCAACAACGTGGCATTCGGTCTTTGTGGGACACAATACCACCACTTACCGAAAGATGAAAAAATGGACATGGTGAAGCAAGCGTGTCGGGAGGCGTATGCCGAAGAGTTCATTTCGCAGCTACCAGAAGGCTATGATACATTTGTCGGCGAAAGCGGCCTAAAGCTATCCGGAGGGCAACGTAAGCGAGGAAATACACAACTTCTTTTCCAACATAGACTGATTTTCATCAGGGCAGAGGATCGCTATAGCCAGAAGCATCGTTAAGGACCCTCCAATCCTCGTCTTAGACGAAGCCACCAGCGCCATCGACGTCCGTACCGAGCGCATCGTTCAGCAAGCACTTGACAGAGTCTCAAAGCATCGTACTACTATCGTCATTGCGCATCGTTTATCTACTATCAAGCGAGCTGACAAAATTGTCGTGTTACGTCAAGGTCGACTAGTCGAACAAGGCACTCACGAGCAGCTATTGAAAATTGAGGCTGGAGTATATCGTGGCCTCGTGACCGCGCAACAACTAACGACAGAAGCTGATGAGGAAGTAGCTGATGATTTGAATCTTACGAACATCAGATCCGTCGTGTCTGTCAGTTCGGAGACACAACATCGTGACAATGGAACGGAAGTAGAAGACGTGGAGTACAAGACGAAGGGTCTACTACGCAGCTTTGGTCGCCTCATCTACGAGCAACGGCATCACTGGTTTCTCTACTCCATCGCCGTGTTGGGCGTCCTAGGAGCTGGTGCTGTGTACCCCCTCCAAGCTTACGTCTTTGCCAACGTTATCCAAGTCTTCACCTACACAGGCGACAAGCTCATCTCGAAAGGCAACTTCTGGGCTGGGATGTACGGCGTCTTGGCCGCAGGTGGCGGGCTTTCCCAATTTGGTCTCAGCTTTGCTACAAATCTTATTTCTATTTCAGTGGCCCAGCACTACCGCCAGGAGTACCTCGTCAACATGATCCGCAAACGCATTTCTTTCTTTGATTCTCAAGGACACAGTTCAGGATCGCTGACTTCGACTCTGAGCAGTGACACTACACAGCTTCAGCAACTCATGTCTACGGAGATGTCTATAGCCCTCATCGCCGCCGTGAACCTCGTCGGCTCACTCACCATCGCATTCGTGTACGGCTGGAAACTGTCGCTGGTTGGTCTCTTTGCAGCACTACCACCGATCCTTGCTGCTGGCTACTTGCGTATGCATCTAGAAATGCAATTTGAAAGCATGAATGCCAAGATATTTGCGAACAGCAGTCAATTCGCCACAGAAGCTGTCGGTGCCTTCCGTACGGTGCTCAGTCTCGTCATGGAAGACATGATTGGCGACCGATATAAGACTCTGTTAGCAGGCCATGTTGTACAAGCGTCTACTAGTGCGACGTGGGGCACTCTCGTCTTTGCTGCGAGCGATAGCGTGGAGCTCGCATGCATGGCGCTCGCATTTTGGTATGGTGGCACCTTGCTCGCTTCGCGCGAGTATGACCTAATCAGCTTCTTCGTTGTTTACATGGCAGTTGTGCAGGGAGCGGTAGCGGCCGGGATGTGGTTCTCTTTCGCGCCAAACATGGCACAAGCAACAGCCGCAGCGAACAGGCTTCTAAGAATGCGACCGCCGAGTACATCTCTTCTACCATCTTACACAGCATTACGTGATCCACCCGGTGGCGCTGGGATTGAGTTTAGAGATGTGTGCTTCACATACAAGTCCCGTGAGATACCTGTCTTGCAAAATCTCAACTTTAAAGTCCTACCAGGCCAATTTGCGGCGCTAGTAGGAGCTTCCGGTTGTGGGAAGTCTACAACAATATCTCTCCTTGAGCGCTTCTATGACATGAGCTCTGGGCAGATCTTCTACAATGATCAAGACATTGCGTCTCTCGATCCATCAGAGTACCGCAAACAAGTCTCCCTCGTGAGCCAAGAACCTACTCTCTATAGTGGGACAATCAAAGATAATGTTGCGCTTTCAGTAGACGTTGCGACTGAAGAGGAGATTGTGGAAGCGTGCAGGAGTGCACAAATCCACAACTTCATCACAAGTTTACCTGAGGGGTATAACACCAGACTAGGGCCAAAAGGCATGAGTTTATCCGGTGGACAAAAACAGCGCCTTAGCCTAGCAAGGGCACTGCTGAGAAAACCGAAGCTTCTGCTCTTGGATGAAGCTACTTCATCCCTCGACGGCGAGTCGGAAAAGCTCGTCCAGGCAGCTATTGAGCGTGCAGCCGGTGACGGCGCAAGGACGACTCTGGTAGTCGCACATCGGCTTGCTACGATCCAGAGAGCAGATGTCATTTTCGTTCTTGGGTCGGGGAAAGTGTTGGAGAAGGGTGATCATCAGACACTATTGAGGAGAAGAGGACTTTACTGGCAGATGGTAATATTTACCCCTCCGCGTCGGTACCCAGCAATTCGGAAACAACGAGCTAACGGATTCCCAGTGTCAAGCTCAAGCCTTGGATCGTTGATGCCCCACAATCTCGTCGATTAGTGTCCTTTCGTAAACATATACGTAGAGCCAATTGTTCATCAGGGCGAACCATCTACAGTTCCCCCGTAGTCTACCAGTGCCAAGAACCCACAGGAACTCAAGATGTAACACAGACAACCACAGTGCGACCAAGTGTGAATAGCCATGATTCAGTAGTTAGATGGATGTAATTCAATAGTGAATCTTGGTTCTTTATCAGGGCGTCTTTCTTGGTATCTTGTTGCTTCATGTTACTTTCGTCGGGCGACAGACGTATTAGCTGTCTGGGGTTGAGCGACCTGATTGTGCACAAGATCAGCTGCATGATAACCTCGCACGATCGATGAGTGGCCGACGCCACATAATGCTGTATAGGCTGACATGATGCTGCGCCCTTGGTGCCTTGCGATACTTGTCATTATATTCATGTCCGCCGCTTGAATTGCCGCTGCGCTTCCCATGATAAGTGCCTTGCTACGCCTTGCCATGATCGTCCTTGCTGCCATGCCCGTCATTGTGCACCACCGTCGCCAACGCTGTGCCACTGGTATAACCGTCACTACCGCCTCTCCGAGATGGGCGAACTGGTAATGGCAGGTGAAAGTGCCCTTTATGTTTTGCGGTACGGTGGGTTTTGTGTCAGCCATGGACGGACATTGGGTGGATTCAGTCATCCTAAATGGTTCTAAAGTCCATCCGTGCGTGGCGGAAAACCACCCGGCCGGAAAATAGAAGGGAGACTTTGACTTCAAGAGACCATAAGATCTATAGCGAGCGTAGGATTTGACTTCTTTGAGAAGACAGCCTCAGCTATGCCACCAATTATTTCTGCTAGGATACGCAAATGTTGACCTTTATCTAGTTCTTTTCGTAGTTGCTACCGGCAAACTTCTGTAGCTCTGCTTAGTAAGAATACATTCATTATCACTCCACTTCTCTTTGTACTTGGAACCGTCATTGAAATCGATGGTTGTATTATTGCGGTTATCTACGTGCGTAGCATCCGATGTCAAGCAGATTGTACCATCATGGTGCGTCACTTTCTTAACGTTTTAGTGAGGATATCGGGGATATGACTGGTATTCCTGCATTTGCCGCTGATAGTCAGTGCGGATTCGAGAAGTTAATTCTAGAGTTGAGCTATACCTGCTGCGTTGTGTGACAGAGGCGTCCAAAGCCACTTAAAAGCACGGTAGGAGCTCAAATCTAGTGACATACTATTGGTCTGGCCGTACATTAGGTTTTCGGCTTGGCACCCATTAGCCTTTTTAACGGGGCAAAATAACCCACGTCTGAAGGCTGCTGTGGGTGCGACGAATATGGAGACATGCAGGGATTAGTGTTATTCTTTTACATGCAGCGCCGGTCGAATGCGGCAGAGTTGTGACTCTCATGGTCATCAAGAATGAGCAGACGGTAGCTGCCAACAACCCTCCCCTTGTATGCTTGTCAAAGTGATCCAGCCACTTCAAGCTCAGCTCATTAGGAGAATTCCAGCCATTCTCGGAGACAGCAATAACCCAATATTGGACAAACTGCCCTCCTTGCACCATGCAGAGAGGTGGTGCTTGCCTGCAAACATGACACATGGTGGGATTTGTCACATTCCTAGTACAGAAACCTTCTTTCCCTGTGCTTCAACAGCCCCTACTGCTATTACTATAGCTCCTGCTACCTTCACTATAGCCCCTTAGCCAATGCCATGGCCCTCACTACCCCTGCCATTATAGATGTAAATAAATACTCTGCAACAGAGTACTTAGACTTACCACAGTACACTTCACTTCATCAGCTTCTTACATAGCTGCATGCTTACACCGCCTCTCTATTTGCAACAGGATTGCCCGCCCCGTTGCACTGATGCCCCGGATGACTGTATCCCACTCTCAATTACCCTGTTGCATTTCCCTTACCTGGCCTCCACGGCTAGAGCCTGTGGATCCTGTTCCAGTTGATATGACGCCCATTACAAAGCCTTTCACACCGAAATCATAGTTGTCTTCCTCTTGGATATCGTACTTGACTTTCAAGTTCTGTACAAGTTGGGACCAACCTCGGACGACCTCAGGATCCTCGCATTTAACTCTATATATTCGTACTTTGGATTAAACTTTATCTTGAGGTATATCTGGCGCTCGGCGAAAGAGCTAGCCCACCTTGGGCCGACTTGGCCCTGGTGACGCTCAGTGAGGAAAGAATTGGACATGGTAGTCACACCAGCAAGCCAGAGGGAATACCCTCACTCGCAACCGAAGTACAAGCTGGACAAGCATCTCTTACTCATTTGCTGTTAATCTCATAGAGTTGGCAGTACAATCGCGTCGAGAAGAGGTTCCGGCGTCTCGTCGTCGAAGCGTCTTTTCTGGCACGTTGTAGATCTGTGCAGCCCGATAAATACTGATATTCGCCGCTCACTCAATATCATGAAGAGTAGGCTGTATTTTAGCTTCTTTTAAAGTCAATTCTATATCAGCATGTGGAATTATCACGGCGGGGAGAATAGTTTGGCGGAGGCTTGGCAAAGCCGGTCACTCGCTATGGCCGGCTACTCCCTATGTAAGTACGTTACTGAATTATAGAAAAGGCGACATAAGCGGCGACTACTTAGGAGATGCACCAGTACATTCTTGTGGCTTGACAACAGACAACCTGTTACTGCAGTAATAGTGCTGGGTAAGTGTTTCCAGAATGGCCTCATGAAGAGATGCACATTTAAATATGCCCTAAAATTTCTTGTGGTCTATATGCCTCCTCTAAATAAGCCTCCTCTTCCTTTGTCAGCAACTTGCCTCTCGCTGCTAATGCATCATCGATTCGTTGGAAACTACTAAAACCTATTATGGGGGCCGTTGTACGGCGATTCAACCACGCTAAGGCGACATGGCTCATGGGCCAACTACGCCGCGTTGCAACTTCACATACTCGGCGTACTATCTCGTCTGAATCCGAGCTATCGTTGTAGTAGAACGCTCCGTTCTTGTTGACAGACGAACGCAATGATTTTCCGTTTTGATCTGGCGCACGCGCAAGTTGGCCGCCAGCCAACGGGGCCCACTGATCACATATTGTTAACAACTCACGTCTACATAGCGGAGATTTGTTTCTTACTGGAATTAGCCCAACTCCAGTTTGGTTGCAAAGTCGATTCATTTCGCGCTCCTCTTCGCGGTACAACAAATTGTAATGATTTTGCATGGCGACGAACTTCGTGAAACCATGCTTTTCTGCTGTATGTTGTAAGAATGCGAATTGATATGCCCACATGGAGCTGGCGCCTAGATAGCGGACTTTTCCGGACTTCACTAAGTCGTGGAGCGCCCCCATCGTTTCCTCAGGCGGGACAGTCGGGTCGTAACGATGGATTTGCAATAGATCTATGTAAGTCGTTTTCAATCTTTCCAGTGAGGCCTCCACTGCATTGAATATGGCTCCCCTTGAAAGTCCTGACCACGGGTTACTATTGACTACGTACTAGTAGTGTAGTATGGAGTAATGCAGCAACGGACATACCCCACTGGTTTGTGTAGTCTTTACTTTGATCAGCAAGATCTCCGTGCATAGCCACTTTAGAGCCAACGTCAAAGTATTCCTGATCGCATGTCACGCGGTAGCACTTGGTCATAATAACGAGTTTGCGACGGGGAATGCTGTAAGTTTGCATTGCCTTTCCCATAAGCTCTTCAGACTGTCCATTCGAGTAGACGTTTGCAGTATCCCACTACCATGATGAGTGTGTAGTCTTTTCGAGCTATAAGACCATAACTCACTGTATTGATCCCACTGTCGTATGCGTACTTTAATAGTGGGAGCGCCTGCACTTGAACGTTAAATTATGATCGTAAAGACACAGGCTACGAACCTTGTCTTCATTAAGCACCCATGGTAACCATTGTGAGTTGCCAATTTGCAAACCCCCAAAGATCGGGTTGGACACTCTTAATCCACTTTTGCCCAATGGGCGCAGCTCTGCTTTCGTCGCCTGAATTGATTTCTTCAAGGCTTCCGGAACTCTAGAGAAGTTTGCTGCTAACAGTCGATTCATTTCCGCTGCAGGAGAGGGAGGGGGCAATTCAAATTGCCAAGAAATGTGAAAAAGGATGCTGCGTTTCGGCTGAGTCTGGATAGGATCTTTTCAGAGGAGACAGGCTCTGCAGTCTCGCTCATGTCCTAGTGTTATTACGGAAAGGCTTCAATTGATGCCGAAACATATCGACACTAGCACTGCATCCCAACGTCGACCTCCAAGGATAAGGCTGGGCTTATTTCGAGCGCAACAAGGCGTGCCGGGTAAATTGGTGCTAACCGCGGAGCGCAAGGATACGTATTTTGAAGCTACTGCGGGGCGGTTTCTTTGTCAGAGGCATGTTCCACATATTGTATGTATTTGCCTATCATCCTTGGTAGCACCGAATTGGTGCACCTAAGGCAGTTGCTTTATGCCGATGGTGGGTGCTGTCATCCCAACTAAGCTTAGCGTGGTACTATATCGGCAGCTCCTCGGTCGATTGCTTTTGCGACTCAATCTTAACTCAACATCCTAGCGCTATTGCTTTTGTCGAACGCCATTGCGGCACAGCTGTTGGTACTATGCCGCGCTCCACGTTTCAGCAGCCCCACTGACCTTTCAGCAGCTCCACGAGCATCTGCCATGATAAACAACATTTGCTCTATGCGTGCAATCTGTGAACCAATGGAGCAAACGCCATCACGAGCGTTCTAGCCAGCGTTTGGCGTTCATCACGTTCATCATCTACTCTGCCATCTGTCCATACTTACCCACACTGTCGGGCCGGGTATCCAACATGAGAGGACAAGGCGTAATGTCGGACGCCTTGTCCTGGAGGACGAACTTTGGATCACGCTGTTCCGCCCGCCTCGGAAGGAAAGCTTGGCATGATCTCACGTAATCAGAGACCCCTGACTTAGCACGAACCAGCTTTGGGCCAACAGTTTCTAACTGTGCATTACTTGTTTTCCCGGCGTGCTCGTTCACAATCTTCCCTTAAACGTTAGTACCAGGCGTAATCCAACGATTTCTACATTGTAGTGGCGTTTGCTGAGCCCATAAGTGGGCGCACGAAGTCTCGCCACAATACACCTTACCAACGGCGCTGCAAGCGTACATTCCAATAGGAGCAAGCGGCCGAAAAACGAGATTGAGCCATGTCTTGGTACGCCATACGCAATGGAAAGGGTATTCCCTGGCCGGTAGCAAGCAGTACTTCACACCTGGACCTCACCTCTTACCATGCACCATCTCCAGTGACGAGGAACTGCCAAACATATTCTTCAAACCGCTATCCTTACAATTTTACATAAAATTCACAAACGACAAAAAAAAACCAAAAAAAACCATCACTTGTCTCGATATCAGATGGTGTCAGTTCAAATAAGAGATATAGGCCTGGGAGCACTGCAGGGTATGGAAGGCGAGGACGTTCAAGATGTATGGCGCCGTAACCAAGTCGTACCGGAAAGCGTCGAGCAGTGCGTGCATGAGCTCATCAAGACAATTGCTCAACGCACTCCCAACTCGATCGCTATTCACGCGTGGGACGGCGAGATGACGTATGGCGAGCTAGACGCGATGTCAGCCAAGCTAGCCAGGCACCTTGTCTGGCTGGGCGTCAAGCTAGAAGACATTGTGCCACTGTGCTTTGAGAAGTCCATGTGGACCGTGGTCGCGATGCTGGCGGTGCTCAAGGCAGGCGGAGCTTTCGTGCCTCTGGACCCAGAGCATCCAAGAAATCGCCATGAAGAGATCTTCGACCAAACAGGAGCCACCGTTGTGCTAACGTCTGCACAATACTCGACCTTATGGGGAGATTTTGCCTGCAGCATTGTCACGTTGTGCGAGGCAACCATCAACCAGCTACCTATGGAGATGAACGAGATTTATACTGCAGTGCACCCGAGCAACGCTGCATACGTCATCTTCACTTCAGGGAGTACTGGGAAACCAAAAGGCGTCGTACTGGAACACCGAGCGGTCTCTACTAGCTGCTTGGGTCATGGAAGCGTGTTCGGATTCACACCGCACACTCGAGCTCTTCAGTTCGCTTCCTACACGTTTGACGTATGCATTGCTGAGATCATCACTACGTTACTATTTAGCGGCTGTGTGTGCATTCCGTCTGAGAGTCAGCGGCGTGACAATCTGTCTGATACCATTAACCATATGGATGTAAATTGGGCGTATCTTACACCAACTGTTGCACGGCTGTTAGATCCCCACACAATCGTAACACTTAGAACGTTGGTACTTGGAGCCGAACGAGTTGTTCTAGCTGATTGTGAAGTTTGGAGAGATCAGGTCGAGGTCATGAATGCATATGGCCCAACGGAGTGCTGCATCTTCTGTACTGGATATGTTGGTATGGAAGGATTCAAGTCGTCTTTGCTTGGAAAGTCCATCGCTTCCGTCGGCTGGGTAGTAGATCCAGAGAATCACGACAAGTTGGCTCCCAGAGGGTCGGTTGGAGAGCTCTTGATTGAAGGACCAATCCTCGCCCGCGGCTACCTTAACGATGCTGAGAAGACAAGTGCAGCATTCATCGATGATCCTGCCTGGCTATTGCAAGGCGGAGGAGGCTATCCAGGCCGGCACGGTAGAGTGTACAAGACAGGCGACTTGGTCTACAGTGAGCCTGACGGAGATCTGGTCTACGTGGGCCGCAAAGACGATCAAGTCAAGGTGCGAGGCCAACGAGTCGAGCTCGGCGAGATTGAGCATCACTTGCGGGAGTGCATGCCCGAAGCCAGGCTGATGACAGTTGAGGTCATCCTACCCAAGGGCCAGAAACACAATGCAATGCTAGCTGCTTTTCTCCAGCTAAATGGCGAGATAGATACTGCTCTGAGGACGGATGTGATGGCCGAGACTAGCTTGGGAGCGAGAGTGATGCGTCCGGTTGAAGTGGAGAACAAGATAAGTCAGCGGCTACCAAGCTACATGATACCAGACGTGTACTTTGCCGTTACACAGCTTCCGATGACGGTGTCCGGAAAGACGGACAGGAAGCGACTACGAGAGATTGGAGCCTCGTTCTCGGCCCAACAATTGGCCGAGATGCAGACGTTGAGCCAGGGGCCGAAGCGTCTGCCATCGACCCAGACGGAGCAGACGATCCAGCAGCTGTGGGCACGGGTGCTGGGCATTGAGCCAGAGATAATTGGGCTGGACAACAGCTTCTTCCGCCTCGGCGGCGACTCGATCGCGGCGATGAAGATGGTCGGTGAAGCTCGCAGGATGGGAATGCACCTAAGCGTGGCAGACATATTCCGCAATCCTACACTCGCGGCCCTAGCTGGCTTAGATTACATCCACAGTGGCAATACTGCCGAAAACATCCTTCCCTTTTCTCTACTAGGCGAAGAGATGGACGTGGCCACCGTCCGCAAGGAAGCGGCCGTCAGCTGCGGCGTTGATGCAGGCCTCGTCGAGGACTTGTACCAATGCTCGCCGCTGCAGGAA